TTTATTATTATTATTATTATTATTATTATTATTATTATTATTATTATTATTATTATTATTATTATTATTATTATTATTATTATTATTATTACACCAGAAGTAGCTCAGGTGGAGAGCTGCCTATTCTTTTTACAAGTCCCTCTTGGCCAGCTGAACTGGCTTACTGTGTTCTCAAGGTCCTGCGGTAAGAAGGAGTAATGGTAATTGGCAGGTCTGCTTCAAGTAATAGGTTGCTTACTTTTTTATTTTTTAATTGCCTGCTTTTTAATATCCATCATGCAGCTTCAATCATACTGTCATGGTTGCCATCTTTACTTTTTTGACCATACCTTGCAGCCATCCCAATGGTATCCTTTGCCTATTGATTGTTACTATAATCAACAACCTGATTACTGAGAAAAGTGCTTGATTGGAACATATGTGACATGGCTGCTTTGAAAGCTGGTTGTCTATCCTGGACCTACCGATTCCAGCTCCGTAGCCACTGCGGGGTCCTCAGCGAGATGGGGAGCCTCTGAAGGTCGGGGGGTGCTCGCCGGCCGGGGTTCGGTAAGAGGAGAGGGTCGGCGAGCGAAGAAGGCTGGCGATGGACCGCGTGACCACCTGGCTTAGGCTGGGTGGGGCCGCGGGCGGAGCTGCGGGGGGCGGCCCAGGCTCGGAAAGGCCTAGCGAGGCCTAGCGAAGCCCAGCGCGGTGGCGGCCTGGTGGCTTAGCGGCCAGAAAAAATCTGCGGCCCGACGCGGTGGCGGCCTAGCGGCCCGATGCGGCAACGGCCTNAACGGCCTAGCGGCCCGACGCAGTGGCGGCTCGGCGGCCCGACAAAGATCTGCGGCCCGACGCTGTGGCGGCCTAGCAGCCCGACGTGGTGGTGGCCTAGCGGCCCGACGCGGTGGCGGCCTAGCGGCCCGATGAAGACCTGGCGGCCCGACGAAAGTCTGCGGCCTGGCGGCCTGGTGGCCTAGCGGCCTGACGACCGGGGCGGTCCGGCAGCCTGTCGGTCTAGGCGGGAAGTTGGACGGCCTGGCGAAAACCTGTGGGCTGGCGGCCTGACGGCCTGGGCGGTCTAGCGGCCTGGTGGCCCAGGGGGAAGTGACCAGCAGTGCAACGCACAGCGGCCCGGAGGACGCGCCGGTACAGTGGCACAGCGGGCCGGGCGGAAGAACGGCCCGGGCGGAGGACAGGGCCCAAGGGATGTATTTGCCGGAGGGACATGGCCTGATGGTGAGTGCCTGGGTGGTCCTGGAGGCTTGTGCGACTGGGGTCTGGCGTGCCTGGAGGCCTGCGTTGCTGGGGCCAGCTGACTTTGGCTGACTTTGACTGCAATTCCCCCCCCCTTTTTTATGGGGGTTAAAAAGACCAAGGAACTATGCTGCCTTCTCTTAATCCATCTAAGCCCCCGACTAGGACTACCATCACGAGGACTTTCCCCCCTCCCCTACTCTGCTGCTGGACCTCCTGATGCGATTTGGGACTGTACTCCAGGAGGGAACTGCTGGCCCTGCGCGACTCCCCCATCGCGCAGGCATGGCCCAACACGATCCTAAGGGCCGGCCTTGATGAAGGGGTCTGGAACCCCGAGAGGTGGCACTCAGCGACAGCATTGAGGGAACTAAGGAGAAGGAAATTACGTGTCTTCTTAGAGGGGTGTTTTATTAAATTTTTAGGGAGTTCGGCGTTGGCCCGAGGGGAACTAGGGGAGTCCTCTCTGAGGCCAAGGCCGGTCCTGTCTGGGGGGCGCGGAGTGGTAAGGGAGGAGACTGGGGGGTTGGCGGAGGGTGGTGTGATAGGTACGGTCAGTGGGAGGGGCAGATATGGCGGGAGCAGAGGACCATATCGGGTTTTGGGAGCACGCACACGCTGCTTACAAGCTTGTGGATGCTCTGATCCTCAGAGCTCTACTCGACTTCCAGGGACCTTAGATCCTCAGGCCCGGGACCATCGGCTGATGTTGTGCAATGCCAGGTCCATGGTGAATAAGGCCCCCCTCATTCAAGAACTTATTCATGAGGGGGGAGCGGACCTGGCAGGTATCACCGAGACCTGGTTGGGCATAGAAGGGGGAGTTCCCCTTGTTGATCTGTGCCCACCGGGTTTCCAGGCATTCCAGCAGCCGAGGGCCCGGGGTAGGGGCGGGGGGGTAGCGGTCATTATAAGGGAGAGCCTGTGTCCAAGGGAGGCCACTGTGCCTCAGATAGACGGTGCAGAGTCCCTCCTTGTGAAGTGGGGGCAAGGGGTGCAAGTGGGCCTGTTGATAATATACCTGGCCCCCTGCTATGTGTCAACGGCCCTGCCTGAGCTGGCTGACG